TATATATATATATATATATATATATATATATATATATACTATTTTGTATTTATTTATTTGTTAATTGTTAGGCTTCTTGATCTGGGACCTGATTCTGAATTACATACAATAAACATGCAAATGTGAGCTGGTATGACAATTTAAAAAATCCTTTAATTTACTATCATGGAAATAACAGGAGGGCAGCACGGTGGCGCAACTGGTAGAGCTGCTGCCTCTCAGCAAGCAGGTCCTTGGTTCAAACCCCAGACCAGGGGCCTTTCTGGGTGGAGTTTGCATGTTCTCTCTGTGCATGTGTGGGTTTTCTCCAGGTGCTCCGGTTTCCTCCAACAGACCAAAAACATGCATGTTAGGCTGATTGGTAACTCTAAATTGTCCCTAGGTGTGAATGAGAGAGTGAATGTTTGTTTGTCTCGTTTGTCTCTCTGTGTCCCTGTGACGGACTGGAGACCCATCCAGGGTGTACCCCGCCCCTCGCACAGTGGGGCGGGGTACACCCAAACCAGAATGGGATGTTAACAGATTGGACACATTCCATAAAAATACGTTCATAAACAAAACTATTTTTATTGATTGTTGTTGTTGAGTGGCTTTGAAATTGAAAGGTGAATGTGTTCCTCTCACCTGGCTGAGGGTCAGTGTAGTCCACAGTGTAGCCATCAAGCTGAAGAAGCTCCACTGGTTCAGCCTTCTTCTCTCTGTAGCTGCACATGGCAAAGGTGTATTGACTCACCTGCACCGTTCAACAGAAGACAAGTTCACCCATCAGTTGGTTCAAACAAAAAGAAAATACACAAACATAACTAGAGAATTTGCATTTCTTGCAAAAATGCAAATGTGAATGCTTCTTGCTTAAGAATGTGAAGAAAATTGTTGAAAAGTAGCTTAAAACAGCAGAAAGAAGCTTCAAATATCAGAAGGAAGCAGAACATGCACAATTGTTCCTAATGTAATGGACTGCCAGGCTGCCGTTGATGTAAACTGTTGATCTGACAGTACTATGCACTTGGGTTTGCTCTCAGCTACCGCTATACCAAATTTCAGCTGAATAGTTCTAAAAATGTCAGAGTTATCATATTTTTTCCTAAGCTTTTAGCTAAGGCAACCAGCCTGGATTTTTGATTGTAATAGGGAATGTTCTCAGCTATAACCACACCAAATTTCAGCTCTGTATGTGTAACAATGGCTGAGTTAAATCCATTCAAATGTAACGTTGCCGGTCATCTTGGAATTTTGATTTTGATGTGGCATTTGATGGGAAACGTAAGCTATCATCACACCTAATTTTAGGTCAATATGACTAAAATTGGCTTTTTTATAGAATTTTTCCTTTGTTTGCTAAGGCGGCCATCTTGGAATTTTGATTGATAGTTAGAGCTTTATTAGGGACTGTTCTCAGCTACCAACACGCCAAATCTCAGCTGAATAGCTCTAAAAATGCCAGAGTTATCTCAGTTTTTCTATAAAACAACTGAATAGTAGCTAAAGAAATTTAGAAAGAAGGTTAAATTTCCAAAAGTAAGTGGAGGGAGCTTAATTGTGCCCACTAAGGCTCAAGTAGGCAAACATTAGAACAATGAAGTTTAAATTATCTGAGAAAAGCTGAAATTTACTCAAAACAGCTGAATAGTAGCTAAAATAAGCAGAAAGAAGCTTAAATTATTAGAAAGAAGTCTGGGGAGAAGTTTTTTGCTGAATTAGGCTGAAAAAAATTAAATGATTGGAAAAAATGTGGAGTTAGCTGATAAAGATGAAATTAGCATTAAAAACAGCTAAATGTTAACTGAAATAGAAGAAACAGCTAAAACTTGCAGAAATAAACTGAAAGGAGCAGAACAAGCTGAAATTAGCATAAAGAAGTTTGAAGAAGCACAAAAATGTTCAAGTTAGATGAATCAGGCCGAAAGGAGCACAAAACAGCAGAAACAACAGCTGAAATAAGCTGAACTAGCTGAATTTTGTTTTTATTTATAGTCAGAGCCTATTAGGAACTGTTCTCAGCTACCAACATGCCAAATCTCAGCTGAATAGCTCTAAAAATGGCAGCGTTATCTGTTTTTCTAGAAAACAGCTGAATAGTAGCTAAAGATATCTAGGAAGAAGCTTTAATTTCCAAAATTAAGTGGACAGAGCTTAATTGTGCCCACTAAGACTCAAGTAGGCATAAATTAGAACAATAAAGTTGAAATTATCTGAGAAAAGCTGAAATTTGCTCAAAACAGTAGAATAGTAGCTAAAATAGACAGAAAGAAGCTTAAATTATTAGAAGGAGGTCTGGGGAGAAGGTTTTTGATGAATTAGGCTGAAGAAAGTTTAAATGATTGCAAAAAATGTGGAATTAGCTGATAAAAATGAAATTAGCATTAAAAACAGCTAAATGTTAGCTGAAATAGAAGCAAAAGCTAAAACTTGAAGAAATAAACTGAAAGGAGCAGAACAAGCTGAAATTAGCATAAATAAGTTTGAAGAAGCACAAAAATGTTCAAGTTAGATGAATCAGGCTAAAAAGAGCACAAAACAGCTGAAACAACAGCTGAAATTAGATGAACTAGCCGAATTTTGTTGAAAATTTTTGCACAATTAAGCTGAAAGAAGCTTAACCAGGTCTAAATGTGAAAGTATTAGTATAAGGTTGTAAACAGATCAAAAGTTATTAAGGTTGTAAAATAAGCTCCATTCATTTTTAATGAGAGCCATAATGGCAGAAAAGGCTAGATATCTCAAGAATCTAAAGTTGCACCGATACCATAACTCATAACAGACTTGTCCTCAAACAGCTGAATGGTTTGATATATGAAGTATTTAGCTGCCGAAAAACATACGGAAAGGATAAAGAACACAGAAAAACAATAGTGTGAATGACAACAAAGTCCATGCTCAATAATCCAGGTAGACAATCCAACATTTTTCAGTGAGGTCATCTGGACAGTTTCTTTTTGTTTTGTGCTGAAACGTTTCACCTTCGGTCCGGAACGCTTCATCAGTCAAGGAAACACACAACAAAACTGATTCTTCCCCCAACAGCTTACTCCAAAGTGGAACAACCAGTTTTGCTTATGATAAGATGGTCTCTTTGGTACGCCCCTTCCTCCATTGCCGGCCCTCTTCCCTCATTTCTGTTGCGATGGCGCACTCATGTCAAATGTTAAATAACAACACAAATGTATATAGAAGTGCTCACAGATGACGCACCAAAAATCTGTTGCGGATAGGATGATGTATCATTGAGATATAACTGTAGGAATAATTCAAGTTGAGCTATGGAGGCTATTGGCCACTTATCATGGATACCTGTTCAAGGGGCGGATAATGATCGATCATTGTGATTTTGGTGCACCTCGGCTGAAATCTGTGCAATTTAGAGCTAAACGTATGGGGATGCCATTACATCTTACTTAGCCACGCTGCGCCGTCCACATGTTCCACCCAAAATTGCCAGTGTTGGAAAGCAAGTTACACCAACATGTCTTCGGTCACTGGACACACTATCATGCTGATCAGGTAATGGGGTCAGATAGGGATCATTCAAAATAAAACTTTATACTTCCTGTTTTCAGGGGGCGTGTCTTAATTGCTGTCATGATTTGACCATGCAGTCTTGCAGGGGACTGGATGTGGATCAATCACTGAAGATTTGATGTCTCAGATGGTTTTCGTGTAGGAGCTATTAGCATTTCATTTTTCATGGCGAGACGTCAAACTTTGAGGTCTGGCCCCACCCCTTCAGCTTGCTCCTAAAAGAACCGTTTAGATCACTTTGCGTCCTCCATACCTTTTGACCCAAATGGCCAAGTTTGAAAACGATTGAGCAAAATCCCTAGGAGGAGTTCGTTCAAATGCAGAGGCTGTAAACCATCAAAAAGGTGTGAAAATTGGGCCGGCAATCCAAAATGGCCGCCTTCCTGTTCATCGTACAACTTTGGTGCCAGAGGGTTTTCTGTGCATCTTGGGGAATTGGACAAGCGTACCAAATTTCATGTTTCTATGACAAACTAAGGTTAATGTGGAGGGTATTTTGAAATTTTCTAGGTGGCGCTCTTGAACCGTTTCTGTTGCGATTTTTGCCACGCACTTAAAATACGTAATTTTTCACCAGTCCTGATGCGTCTGCCAAATTTGGTGACTTTTGGGATATGTTAAGGACCCCAAAATACCAATTAATTTGGCAGAAAAAATTGTAGCTCGGGCCTGAACAGAGCGATTACAATAGGCCTTTGCAGTGCTTCACTGCTCGGGTCTAATAAAAGCTGCAAGCAGCATTGAAGGCCCTCGCAGCAAAGCGCCGCTCCAGCTCTACGGCAACCACAGGAGCTCCAGCTACTCCACCCAGTTGCCATCGCAAATGCTCTCATGCCAGTTCCGTCATCGTTCACTACGGGGTGCATTTTCCGAATCTTCAACATCACCTTCCGTTCATGTCAGTACTTGTCCAGCTGCAGGTCTTACAAGTATAGGCGAAATACGACCTTCCAGATTTGAGTTATTGGGACTAACTTTTTTGTGGCGAATATTTGACGAGCACTTCCTTTATGCTTTTCAACATGTCATGTGTGGTAATCAACAATTAGCAAACACAGTTTCAGTCTTATACGTATCTTACACAGTGCGAAGCTGGAAGTGTCACCCAATAATCAACAGTTTCTTCTCTGAGTGTGTAGGGCTTAAGTGATGTCATGAATCAACAATACCAATGTGTCAATAAGTGCACACTGATCAAGCACAAAAAATCAGGTTCAGATCAGATGATGTATCACTGAGATATAACTGTCAGAATAATCTAGGGAGCGTACTGGAGTCAAAAGTTAAACAACAACACCAATGTGTCTAGAAGGGCTCACTGATGACGCACAGACAATCTGGTTCAGATCGGATGATGTTTCACTGAGATATAACTGTTGGAATAATCTGGGGGCACACATGAGTCATATGTTAAACTCAATACCAATGTGTGTCGAAGTGCTCACTGATTATGCACAATAAATGTGGCGCATATCGAATGATGTGGCACTGAGATATAACTCTTGGAATAATCTAGGGGGCATACTTGAGTCAAAAGTTAAACAACAACACCAATGTGTGTCAAAGTGCTCATTGATGACACCAAAAATCTGGTTCAGATCAGATGATGTATCAGTGAGATATAACAGTTTGAATATTATAGTTGTCGGCCTGGATTGAAATGTTAAACAACAATGCCAGTGTCAGAGTCAGAGTCAGAGTCAGAGTTTCTTTATTGTCATTCGCACCTCATGTGGTACATGTGGTGGAGCGAAATTATGTACACGGGGTCCCAGTTACATCCAACAATAAAATGTATAAGAAAAACAGTAATAACATCTAAGATATGAACTAAGAAAAACATCAACTAAATATACACTAAGCACTCATAACATAAAACATTGAACATCAGCACAAACATGAACATGAGTCTGTGAGAAGATGTGCACGCATGAACACATCAACATTGAAACAGATCAGCAGCAACATGAAACAGATCAGCAGCAACATGATGTGAGTTTTCACAGTGATTATTCTGGTTAGAGATTCATGAGTCTAACAGCCTCAGGGTAGAAGCTGTTCCTCAGTCTAGTGGTTCTACACTTAATGCTCCTTAACCTCCTTCCTGAGGGGAGTGGGGCAAAAAGTGTGTGTGCTGGGTGGGTGGGGTCCTTCATGATGCAGGTGGCCCTCTTCCTGCATCTGGAGGTGTAGATGTCTGTGATGGTGGGGAGA